ATCACATTTCTGGTGCATTTATTGCTGATCTCCAATTTCCACGTAATAAACCCGGTCGGGGCATTACTATAAATTATCTTAGGAAACGGTTAAGTGAAATAGTTGTGGAGGTAAACGCTCTTGTTAGCAAATGTAAGGTTATTTTGCTGTACAAACTTTTAAGTAGGTAATAGAATACAACGTATAATGTGACTTAGTGTTGCGAGTTTTGTTCTGGGTCTAGAGGCTCTAGGTTTTTTTCTTAGAAGGGGCTAGCACGTAAATTAGTCAATCGATTATACTAGTATAATCACCAGGCTTGAACTAATTTTAATGTCATTTGAAACCTTAAGTTCACTTTCTGTAAGTTATAAAATAAATCACGGCTATAACATATTTTAATGGACCTATAAAACAATCTTATTAGCTAGGCGTCTGGTAATGATGGATAAGTTGCTTGCGCTGCTTCTTCCATTGGACTCTTGGAACTCTCCTATATAGGCCTCTCCATAGGCCGCGTACAGCGTCACAATGCTTACTATACAACTATACAAATGTACGGTTGTGGCAGAGTAAATACAAATGAGTAGGTCATCTTCATAGACACGCACCAAGCGCGGTTTGTATGTGAGCGCGCCAATACGTTGACGCACACACTGACAAAATTTAGCGTGGATTAGCGGGGTGTTGCGCCTGGTTGTAGTCTCCTTTAGACGTTGATGTCGCCGTATGGACACTGTGGACGTCGATAGGAACGCTGACGTCTTTCGTCGCGTATAGCGTTTACTTGGAGTAAAATGAAATTTCAGGAGCTTTAAGTACAGTGCAGTGCCTATCTAAGAGCAGTCGTAGAACCAATCTATACTATCTATACTCTATACTAATATAAATGCGCAAGTAACTCTGTCTGTCTGTCTGTTTGTGTCTCACTTTCACGCCTAAACCACTGAACCGATTTTGATGAAATTTGGCATAGAGATAGTTTGAATCCCAGGAAAGGACATAGGATAGTTTTTATCTCGGTTTTTGAAACAGGGACGCGCGTGATAAAGTATTTCTGTGACACAAAATTTCACGCGGGCGGAAAGCTAGTATTTAAATAAATTGATCTGTAATTTCAAAGTACAACTTAGAAACAAAAATGCACGCTCCTAAACTAGATTACTAGACCACCAAATAAAACAGCGCCACTAATTTCCATTGCCTAAAACAAAACAAAATCTAGACTGTCTTTTGTTTTAGACTGACATTAGCGGTGTACCCCGCCATTATTGTTCCGAAGCAACCGCGGGATAAGCTCGGAAGCGGAACAGAACAGTTACCCGCTCTTCTGCTAACGGTGCTTGTTCGCGGGTACACTCAGCAAGATAAAGGACTGATTCTTAAGCTCATAACAGACTTATCAACTCGGAAAGGGATCAACACCGTATCGCCATTCGCGAGTTGTCATCGCTTTTCATGCGCTGTCAATCGCGAGGCGGTTACGGTGCGGATGTACGTTGCAGTATGGAGTTTCATATAAAGAATACAACACAATATTCGGAATAGCGTTCTTTCAGGATATAGTGAATCGGGATTCCGATTGTTAGCCCCAATGTAGGGAAGACCGAATCACGGAAGAAACGCGTACTTAGTTGTTCGCTGTAAGTACTATAAATACATGATTAATATATTCCCCCGATTCTGAAACGTCAAGTGTCAAAAATCAAAAACTAACAACCCTATATTGATAGTAGCGCCCTCCTGAAAATGTCATAGCTGGGACAGTTCATTGTAATGTTTTCAATGTATCTGTCTTCTCCTTTAATACTTACAACAAATTTTGAAGTTCTATTATGTTATACTATTACTATACTTACTACACTTACTAGTTTTTACATAATATAAAACTAGAACAATACAATACATAATTATGCATAATGTTTTAAAAAACAGATAATAATGTTGACAGTCTTACATTGTAAGAAGTCCGGAAATAAGTAAGCACATACATAATTTATAATTCTTAGGTATATTATTCCTGTGTGAAAGCATGGTTTCTTACTTCAATTTAAATATACAAAGTATGATAGTAAGGCTGAGTTGGACCATCTCAATTTAACTATGACAGACGTCAAAAATCTTTCAAACCATACAAAAAGCACCGGTTATTCGATATTGTTATTGTTACAGTTAGGTGGTGCAACTCAGCCTTAGTGTTTTTATTGAGGCTGACTATACAAACTTTTTCATCGTGTGTTGCTTGCTGCAAATGCTTCTAACTAAAGCTGTTGGAATGAGTAGTGGTACTTCATAGATTACTACTCGTAAATGTAATGAATGAGAGAATTTTGATACGTTCCTATACATGTATCAATGAGGGCTATCGTTTTAGCGCTCACCAGTTAGCGCCACTGTAGAGTAAGGTCCTGTCACTTGCTAGTAGCGAAGACAGTGGCACCAACTGGTGAGCGCTAAAGTGGTAGGAGGACTATCGCAATTGCACTCATCAAGATAGCGCCACTGTAGAGTAAGGTCCTGTCAATCGCCAGGGGTGCCAACTGTTAAGTATTAAAACGATAGCCCTCATTGGTAACATTTATAATGGCTTGCGCCAAACTCATAATTAAAGGGCAAGAAAAACGGCAAAGATTTAAAAATAATTAACTTTTTTGTTAGCTTTAAAGCACTTTTACACCCAATATACTTTTATCAGGCACCATTGCATCAACGATGAAAGAAACTACAAATCAGACCTATCAAAAACTAATATATTCATGGTTTGATTAATATAGAAACTTAATTAATTGATTATATTTTGCTACATTAATTTACATTTATATGTTTATTGCTCATTTGGAGTATACTTGTCAAATTCCAAGCGATAAAGAAATTAAAGTGCCCAAAAGTGACTTCAAACATTAGTGACATATTTTCTATCAAAATAGTAGAGATTAGAAAGACCGCCTTCAACATCTAACTCAATATCCCAAATGATTGGTGCCTAGTCTCCTATTTTCAAAGAAAATGGATGCGTAGCATTTACAGACTCTATTTTTAAGTATAAATATACCAGCCAAACATAAAATTAAGTCATTAAAGTATGTTTGGTTTAAGTAGCTCGCTTAAGTGTATGGCTGGAGGTGATCGGATCGGTCCTATAAATCAGGTTGTATCGTAAAATCTTCGGTAACCGCTCTTGACTACCGGGGACCGTTAGCCGATCTGTTCTTTGTACTTACTTTACGATCGCAACAATACTATGATTGAGTATCGAGTATATTATGGCGTAGAGCTGCTTTTTGTAGTAATAAGTTGACTCCGCCGGCGGCAAGGTTTCACACTCATTTTGCAAATTCTTCATAGATATAGGCATTTTTTATCGAATTAAAAAAAACGTGATAAAACCACCAGTACTTCTTAATAATATCTGTCTTCACACTTTTAGAAATTAAACAAAAACTGCAAAACATAAGGCTTTACTTTCTTGCGTAAAGATTGAGTGGACACAGAACGCAGTCATTTCGGTTGATCAGAAGGATGCCGGAAAATCACGAAATAATATAATAATAATAATAATTATAAATCTTTGGACAATTTCACACAGCGCCAGCTAGCCCCAAAGTAAGCAACTTAATGCTTGTGTTATGGGTGCTAGCTTAACGGATATACTACTTATAATATACTTTTTTTTAAATACATACATATTATACATAGTAACACCCAGACCCGTTACAGAAATTAAAATTCATCATTTCAATTTCTGCCCGGCCGGGAATCGAACCCGGGACCTCTCGGCATAGTAGTCCGTTCTGAACCACTACACCAAACGGCCGACATAAAAAAATTAAGTAACAGAATAGCTCAATATTTATTAATATTATTACTAATGATGGTGATGATATGACGTCATGCTTTGAATATGATAAAAAGAGAAATTGATTTCATCACTTACAAGTAATTGAGTGCAATCAATGGTAATCATGAGCGTAGTCATGAAATTAGACCGTAAATCTTGATTAACTCTATTCCAATTCCGAATCTATAAGAACAACACGTGAAAATGGCATTTAATTTTCTCTCTTTTTTAATGGGGGTGCGAGTAGCGCAGGGCGCCATGGAGGGGTTTGTCCTCGAAGGCACCAAAACGCAGATAAAGTACTACCCCCATTCAGTGTATTTTAATATATACTGTACAGATAGTACGTACATTTGTGGGGGCTCGATTCTGAATCAGCGTATAATGTTGACCGCTGCACACTGCGTGGAAGACTGCAAAGGCAAGAATCGTTTAAATGTGCTGATTAAATATGGCCACGAGTATATAAACAGTATGAAGTCGACTCAGATGAAGGATTTCATAATGCACGAACATTACGATGATGACACGATGAACAATGACATTGCCCTGGTGATGGGAACTAGAGCCCTGCCGCTGGGAAACGTGGTCAAAAGGGTCATACTGATGCCTACACCACCGAAACTTAAGTTGGCCTACATAGCGGGCTGGGGCGTAATGAACGTAGGTACCTAACTAACCAAACTATTTTTTTTAATGTTTTCATATGGTCTTCTTCTATGTCCTCTTTCATTCCAGTTGCGCGGCTTTCCCTATCATGGGATGGGCCGCCATTTTTATCCTATTTCTATAAAATTATTATAAAATTTAAAATTACCATCACAAAATATGTACATTCACAAAACTAGATAGAAATTCTAAGTAGGCAGATGTAATGAAAAAAGGGTCTGCAGGTGGACAGCCCTATCGCATGTTGTCATACCGTGACGTACCGCGCGGCTGTTGACATTTATTTCAAAAATATGACCGAGTTAGAATACTGTATAGATAGTATTACAGTGATATAGTGGTATAATATCAGCATCCAGATTTCATATTTTGACCTTTACGATTTTTGTGAATAGCGGGATTTGCTAATACTGACAATTGACATTTTGGCAAAAGCTTACTCAGCTTAAAAGCCCACTTGCAAAGTCAATGAATTTGAATTTCTTACAAATTTTTGTACCGGTTCGTCTTGTAGTACCGCCAAGACGTGTCCCTCACGTTACTGGAGGCAGTTCAAGAGTTGCAACCTTTGTCAGTGTGCAAGAAGATGGGACTGCGGCCCAGAGGCACCTTCTGCGCGGGCGTCGTCTCTGGCCCGGGGAACCCTGATTCGTAAGTGGATACAGTGGACTTTGAACACATCATCATTTCAGCCACTGGACGTTCACTCCTGAACATAAGCCTTTTAAATAAAGCCTTCCCCAATAGACAATTTGACACCATTCCCCAATAATTCGAAATCACAACTTTTCTAAAAAGACACTTCATTCTGATCTTAAAAATTTAATTTATTTTAATTTACATGTAAATTACGATTTTTGGTCGCATTGTAATTTAAAAAAGTAGTTTATTTGAGTTGACAAAATAGTGACGTCACTTGCTTGTAGTGCCATACCAAATCTATGGGAGAGTTTCGTATACCTCTGTGGTCAAGTGATCTCTCGACTAGGTGATTCTGGGTACAATTTGTTATTTGGGTATTTAGATTTGTTTCACTTTTGACTTTCTCTTCGAGCAAAGTTTTTGCGTTGCACTTTGCCTGAGTGCGTTATTAAACTGATTAATTTTTCGCAGGGGCGACTCAGGCAGCGCGTTGGTAGGCAAGAATCACGTACAAATTGGACTGGTCTCCTACAAAGTTAGCCACTACAGCCTAGTGATGTACACCAACGTATCATATCACTTCTACTGGATACGGAATAACGCTCAAAAACTGTACTGTCGACACAATTTAGGGTAGTAAATAAATAAATGAATACAGATGAACAGTTGCTTCGTTATTAACAAACAGTTTATGAATATTAAATATGAAAGAATTGTGAGTTGATTGAAATGTTTCTAATATCAGTGTGTACGACCCAAGCTCGAACACTTATAATACTCATGCTTGATTACTTTCAGAAATGTATATTATACTAATAATATATCCATTATCCATGAAAGAATGTAATGTTAACTTTATTCGCTTATTATTTTAATTAGTTCGATAAAATCTTCGGTAACATCTCCGGACTACCAGGACCGTTAGCCGATCTGTTCTTTACATACTTTACGACCGCAACAATACTATGATTGAGTATCGGGTATATTTTAGTGTATAGCTGCTTTCTGTAGCAATAGGTAGACTTTGTCGGCGGCAAGGACTTTCACATTTATCATATTCGTATAAAAAATATGACATCGCTTACATAATAATATTTTATGTATTCAATTTCGTATAGTAGAGTTGGAGTATGGCAGGAAATAATAGAAAACCTTGTTTTTATTACACCTAGGTAGGTACTTAGTGAATATTACTGATGATTTGATGATGACAGGATATCAAATGATGATAAAGTAAAATATATTTCATCGATTAATCACTTACACGTCATTGCGAGAAATGTCCGTGTAAATTAATGGCAATCATGAACATAACCATGAAATAAGACCGTAAAACTTGATTAATTCCATTTTTATTCTGAATCTACGAGAACAACACGCAAAAATGCCATTTAAGTTTCTTTCTTTTTTAATGGCGGTGCAAGTAGCGCAAGCCGCGATGGAAGGGTTTGTCCTCGACGGCAACAAAACGGAGATAAAAAACTACCCCCATTCAGTGTATTTTAATATATATTGTGCAGATACGTCGTACATTTGTGGGGGCTCGATTCTGAACCAGCGGATAATGTTGACCGCTGGACACTGCTTGGAGGACTGCCACGGGAAGAATCGTTTAAATGTGCTGATTAAATATGGCCATGAATACATAAAAAATATGAAGTCAACGCAGATGAAGGATTTCATAATCCACGAACATTACAACGGTCACACGATGGCCAATGACATTGCTTTGGTGATGGCGACTAGAGCCCTGCCTCTCGGAAACGTGGTTCGAAGGGTCATATTACTGAATTCAGCGCCGAAACTTAAGCTGGCCTATGTAGCGGGCTGGGGCGTAATGAACGTAAGTAGTCAAACCCAATCGTTAGATACCACTGAACCTTCTTCTCTTTCCTTCTTCATCTATCTGGTATATTAGGACCACCTTCATTCTTCTCGTTTACTACTAAAAAAACTCTTAGAGACAATTAATATCTACATGTAGGGACTACTGCGGCGCTGGATGCAGGCCGCCACCAACCGCCCATTGTGGAAATCATTGGGGGAAGCCTATGTTCAGTGGACGCCCTATGGCTGAAAATGATGTTGAAATGATGATGTGGTGACTAAATGATGATGATGATGTAACAGCTATTATAGGCAAAGGCTTTTTCTTGCAGTACCGCGACGATGTGTCCCTCACGTTACTAGAGGCAGTTCAAGAGTTGCAGCCTGTGTCAGTATGCAAGCTGATGGGACCGCGGCTCAGGGGCACCTTCTGCGCGGGCGTCGTCACTGGCCCGGGGAACCCTGCTGAGTAAGTACACTTAGGTACAGTGGATTTGGAACTTTATGTGTTCAGTATAAGGTTTAATATTTTTATAAGCCACGATAGCCGAACGGTGAAGGGGTCGGACTGGCCGAGTCGTGAGCCGTGGAACGCGGGTTTAGTCCCCGCCGCCGCTCGACTATTGTGGTGAGCTCACTCGTGACGCAAGCATATTTAGCTTAGTAGGTACGAGGGGCTAACTAGAATTTAAAAACAAAAAGAACGAAACAATATCAATTGTAATTATGAAAGGTTGATTTGCTGTCGATTCTAGACGACTTCTCTATGTCCATAATTAGAAGTATTTTCCCCAACAGCCGGACAATTTTGACAGTTCTAACTCCTTGCCAGACAGTTTTTTAGGGTAGCTCGGAGCTACCCTAAAAAAACTGTCTGAGCTCCCAAAGCCACCATGACCCAAACTTCATAATTCACCAACATATCCTATATTAGGAGCATACGCTGACAAACTTTCAGCTTCTATAAAATGACGTAGGTCTGGCGTTCACTAGTTCTTAGTCTATAAGGTTTAATTAATTGGGTTGCTTTGTTTGTTTGACTTAATTTATTTTTTTGCAGGGGCGACTCAGGCAGCGCGTTGGTAGGCAAGAATCACGTACAAATTGGACTGGTCTCCTACAAAGTTAGCCACTACAGCCTAGTGATGTACACCAACGTATCATATCACTTCTACTGGATACGGAACAACGCTCAAAAACTGTACTGTCGATATAATTTAAAGTAGGTAAATAGTTAAATAAATAAAAGAATATGAAATAACGGTTGCTTCGTCATTTAAACAGGATGCCTTTGAAATTGTTGGCATCCTTTTAAAATAAGACTCTACCCATGATACATAGTGCATTCCCCAAAAATGAGACAAATCCATCAAATCAATGATTTTTGACATTATTATTCTATGCATTTGTACCTACCTATTTAGAAATTCGATGGAGTTACTAATTGCATAATCATAGGTAATTAAGAAAAGTCTGAAAATTCTGCAATCCAACAACAAGACAAATTATTCCTAAAATCACCAAATCTACATTTGCATTTGTAAAGAACCATTGGAAATGCAGCATGAACCTATGGTTTTGACGGTCTGTGTGTTTTGAGATAACATGATAATAACGGTTTCTGTAAACGTAGAGTTATGGGGATTTCCCTTTATAACGTAAAGGATATCCCCTTATTCAGCTATTCTGTTCATGTTGTGCCCCGCACCAAAAACCTGGAGCTGTTTGTGGTGCGGGGCACGACCATGAACGTGTCTATCGTCAATCAGGATTGCACTACTGATTGCTCTATCGCGAAAAGAGCACAGAATAAAAATGTATCTTCTTCATATAAAATAGGACAAAGACTATTCCCTCCGCTCGTTTCCACCGCTGCAACTCTGTGTAGCCAGGATCTACAGCTTGACCGTCAATATAAACCTAACCGCCAAGTAAAGGCAATAGTTTTTCTGTATAGAGGTTCACAAGGGAAGCGGGTATGGCTTTGGTGATTTTAAAAATCCCATTTTTGTAAGCAAGATGACTTGATTCAATTCATAGAATTATTTTTGAATAGTCTCCGGCTTTTGAATACCTACTCGTAGGTAGGTAGTCAATAAAATTTACGTACCTAACTAGGTGTTTCATCGTGACTAAGACAAAAATCCAGAATTTATAGAGTAGCAGCAGAAAATTAATCAAGACTATCAATACTGATTGCTCCATAAAACTGCTACAAGCATGACTTGATTCTTCATTGATTAAATGAGAAATAATTTTAAAGTGAGCAGGTCACGAACATGAAGTGTACTCAGCGGTTAAGAAAATTACTTCTAGTCTTCCATATATTGAATTACTGCAGCCGCATATGCGGGAATAATCAAATGGAAGGTCATATAGTTGGCGGTGATTACGTGGATATAGAAGAGTATCCCCATGCCGCTTGCTTGGCAATAACATGTCATAAAGGTTACCAGAGCAATAGTTATAAATGTGGGTCGTCGATCATCAACCAACATTTTACTTTGACGGCCGCGCATTGCCTCCATGAATGTGATATTCGGAGAAGTTACATCATGATTTCGGTGGGTCATCACTACCTTAAGAAAGCGCTGAAATCCTCAGCCAACTCGTTCATGATCCACGAGAAATATGAAGATCAGATTATCTTTCCAGATATTGCTCTTGTCCAACTAAAAACTCCTTTGACACTTGGTTCGAAGGTACAAAGAGTAGCGTTGCTGAAGCCCAATGAGGTACCAAATGTATCGGAAGGTTTTGTTGCTGGGTGGGGCGAAACAGAAGTAAGTAGTGCTAAAAAGCTAATATTATTTTAATTAAATGTGATATCGGTTAAAGTCGAAGTTCTAATCGAGACAATAAAAATGTCCGATAAACGTTAATCTGGTGGAGCTTGTCAAAAAGTTCTATTTTTTTACATAAAGGATAAAAAAGGTAACAATTACCTGAAACATGTAAGGCAGCCGTTGTGGTCTCGGAAGAACTGTACCAAATTCTTCGGGGCGGAGCTATCTTTAGGACAAATCTGCGCTGGCTTTATGAAGAGAAAGGACTATGCTGACCAGTAAGTTTATTTTTAACAAACTTTGAAAAAGGAACCCCATTTGTCCAATTTGATTTTATCATTTCAAATTTATTAAAAAAGTTGAGTAGTTGAGTTTTAAAATCAAATGTAAAGAGTGGTTGTTAACTTTGTAATATTTTTGCTTGATATCCTTTTTTGTGACATGTTGTCTGTCTAATATTATTTAATGGAGGCATATTCACTAAAACCACTATTCATCGAATGCCATTAAATAAGCTGGACACATCAGATTTTACAACTAAAGCGTGTACCTTTTTGTTGGAAAATAGCATCATTAGATGCATGCATAACCCTAGTTGTTGGCAGTTCTCGGACAGCATGCATGGAAACGTAACTGCACGGTTATCGCCTCAATGCCTCGCCAATGAGAACCACAAACCGCGCCGTTACCATATAGCCTAGCTCAGGGGTTCCCAAAGTGTGCGCCGCGGCGCCCTGATGCGCTGTAGAAAGTAAAGAGGGTCGCGGCCATAGAAAGTAAAGAGATGCGCCATCAGTCAATCCTTTACGTCGCTTGAAAACCGTTGACTTACCCCTCACACTTCTTTACCCGCCCGTCTTTCGACTGTATTTTTTTCAAAGGGTAAGACGCCGTGACGAAATACTTTTGTAAGTGGGCCGCGGAATGAAAAAGATTGGGAACACCTGGCTAGCTTGGTGAATACGAGTACTTCACGACCAATTATTGTATTTTACAGAGGAGACTCAGGCAGCGCGTTAGTGATCAACCGCTACATTCAAATCGGAATAGTCTCCTACAAATTTGTAAGGAGAAGCCCCAGTATTTTAGTCTACACTGACGTTTCACATTTCTACAACTGGATCACAGGTCACACTCGACGTATGCACTGTAAACACAGGCAACATGCAAACGAAAACGGAATAGTCGACTTCGAAGATGATGATTATCCAACAGTAAACCAAGAAGATAATTTACTTTTTGTAGCGCCAAAACCGACACGAGTTGTTTCTTATGGTTAAAATTTGATTAAAAATCTGAACATGAGAATACATTTATTTTGAAACCTTATCGAATGTAGGTTTTCTTGCAGACAACCGGTCTGGAAATTAATTCTTGTTTAAAATCAAAGACTTTAATCGCATAAGTATTTCCCACAACCTGCGATATGCAGACAGCTGTCCGCAACAGGATTTTTCAAAGCTGTACTTGTATAAAAAGGGTCTAGTGGACGAAATAAAATCTATTATCCTATAATCCAAAATAAAGCAATGGAATGGAATACAAATTCGATGGTTGAAACATTTATGACGTCGATATTACGGCATCACTATTTAACTGTGCGTGCGCTTCCGCGTGACGTCATCGCAGGTGCACGCTAAACAGGCGAAGGAATACGCAATCTAATTTCTAACCAAACTTGAGACTAAACAGTTATCGATAGTTTTATTGGTTAATAAATGGTAGATAGGCTACTTTACTATGAATTGATGAATAATAATGTTGCTAACTAAAATGGATGACTGTGCCACAGATTGGGGTTAAGGCAGTAGTTAATAACTTAAAAGATATCGAACATTCGATATACCTAACTAAAGTTTGGTTAACAAACATGAAAGATGCATCTATGAGCTTAAAAGGTAGGTTGACTTAGACTCAAATAGCAAAAAGATATCGAATTTCTATTTAATCCAGATTGACAAATGCAAATTTTTTTGTGGGTGTAATTTCCATACTACCAGCAAAATAAAATCTTACTAGTTCCTTATTCTTTGGATTTTTCAATTCAATTTTATTATTAGACGACGATAGATTTATTAAAAATTACGATTTCTTTGTTTTTTTAGGGCAATTACTAACGTAAAGTCTATGAGTAGCAGCGATGATCCAGTCCCTGCTTGTGAATACTCCGGTGCTGACGCTGATGCCGTTGGAGACGAACGACAGGACCCCCACCAGGACCAGGACAGGATGCTTCTGCACCAGCCCGTTGCCAGCGTCGTCTCTGAAATAAAATGCGTATTACAACGGTCGAGTTAACTGCGCCAGTTGCCAGGTGTCAGGAGCCGGAAATGCTTGGCTTTTTACGGTCTTGTCCGGTCTGTCCGGCTTTTGTTAGGATTTTAATTTGGTTGCCGCGCCAGGTGAAAGTCGAACCACAGAATAATATGAAGCGCACGCATCAGGACGTTGGGCAACCGATGATGATAGTACTCACTCGTAAGCTATGACACTAATTAGGATAAAATATCCGCCCAAATGAAGCACAGTGCAGAGTCCGGCTTTTGTGTTTTGGGACCTGGAAACCCTTGGTTGTCGTGATATCGCATCGACGCTCGTACGAATTGGGGGCGAACGTGGTGTGAGAGGGAGAGTCGCATTCCAGCGAGGTGAGCAGTTAACTCAGCTCGATCGGGTTGTACCACCATGCCACTATTCCGAAAAAATTAATGGGTAATTTAAACTACTTAGCTGGCCCGGCGAACTTCGTACCGGTCTGTCAATTAGTGTGTGACTTGAGGTGTCAATTGTGGAAAATGTGCAAATCCGGAATGTGTAGGAACCTTTATTTAAAATTTTGGAAACATATAATATTCTATGGCCTATGTGCATCAATAACAAAGGTTTAATGTGGGATTCTAATGGTGAAGGTAGGTATATATTATATCAAATCGGTCAAGTACTTTCGGAGCCTATTCAATTTAAATCTTACAGAGTCATGGCAATAATTAATTAATGGCAGTGAAGAAAATAATATTATGTGCAGAGACAAGGATTCATCCATGATCCTCATATCAGCTAATAGTAAAACGCAATGCAGTGCACAAAAAAATCGTCGAATCAGTTAATCAGAGTTTACTGAGCTGAGTATAATTTCTTACTTGAAAAAATGGCCGATTTCTGGCATAGTGCACAAAGTTGTCGCCGACACCTTGAAGCCAGCGTATTTGTTGCAATCGTTTCGACCCAGTACTCTCTGCTTCGTGGCTTTCAGCGATCGTGCCTTGCTGAAGTCTGGCAACTTTGTAGGTTTTTCGGTTACCTGAAATGAAACACAGGTAAACCCACAACGTGGCCAGATGTCTTTATAAAAGTTACAGGAAGGCGCTGGATGCAAACCACTCTGGAAATAATTGAGGGAGGCCTATGTTCAGCAGTGGACGTCCTATGACTAAATTATGAAAACTCATAAAACACATTTTATTTTTGCAAGTAGGTAGGCTTTACAAAGCAATTTCACACGTCCCAGTATTAACCCTACCACTGCTTCTGGACAATAAATGGGCCAGTTCTGAGAAGACGCAGTGCAAGAAACTCAGTCAGATGATGATGATGAGTCTTTCTTTCTGTAAAATACTTATTAAAAATTCTTAGCGAATAGAGTCGCTTCTCAAATTAAATTTTAAATAAACAACTTGAAAAAATCGAACTGTTACAGTGTCTAAGTAGCTCAGTTGGAAGAGCAGTCGCCCGGCAAGCGGAAGGTCGTGGGTTCGTGTTCCACCTTAGGCAGTTCGATTTTTTCAAGTGGTTTATTTAAAATGTAAAATACTTGCCCGTTGCTTGCCCCAGCCCGCAGAAAATAAAATATCCTCTACTTTAGGCTCCTTCGTCGTCAATGGTATCTTTTTAATGTAGTGCTGCAGCGGTACTCGATCGCTCAAAAAGGCCACTGCCAGGTTGTTCCTGCCTTTCTCCTCGTCATATTTGGGATTTATCTCATAATCCACAACCTGCCTCACAGCCCTAAACTTATTGGGAATGGTCCCACCGAAGTAAGCGTACATTATCCCTCTACTGTACCGGAGCTCGTCTACACAGTGGGCAGCCGTCAGAACCGCTTGCACCATTATTAAGGAGCCACCGCAAGAAGACGGCGACGTCGTTTCGAAGTAAAGGAACGACGCGTACGAATACTGGTCAATTCCCACATCGTAACCACTGTAAATTCGGCTTTCCAACTCTGGCAACTTTGAACTATTGTTAAAACACCGCACGGGAACTAATATTAGTACAACAAAGAATACTGTTAACATTGTTAAATTTATCAAAATTTAAAGCCTCTAGAATATTTACGTCACTACCTAATTAGTGCTCTTGGCTCGTTTGAGTTTAATTGACAGTAAATACGGAGACTTTATAAGCCAGCCGATTAATTGCCTAAGTTACATAGTAATTAAGCAATCTGTTGTTTAATATGCAAATAAAATCTTACATTATGTAATAGCTTTCGCGTAAAAATGCGTCAATAAACGTAAATCAAGCTTAATCAAGCCTACCGGTACTTAAGTCAAAGCTACTAAGTGTCGTTATAATGGAGGACTATTTTGTAAGTAATAAAGTCTTCAAACCGTATTGAGTCACAATTTTAATTCATATGAAAAAATACGGTTGCGCACAAATTGCATGGAAAATCGTTTCTTGGTTAGTACGAGTACTATAACTAGATCTATTTTCACCTGGCTTTTGGTTCCGGTGAAGTAAGAATAGGAGTAGGTATGAGTGATAATCCTTCCATAAACAAAAAGTGACTAAAGGACAAACATGTAAACATCAGGCCTTCCCAACCCAAGCACCAACTCCTCCATTTGTATTTGAAAATTTCCAGACACCCGTATTCACAAACAATACTATGAGGTCTTACAGTGCGCGTGCACAGGGTGACACACGAACCAATCACAAAGCTCTATTCAACGCTGTGCGTTCGATTTGCTGCTTCACTTAAGAAAACATCATATTTTGTGAATACGGGCGTATATGACCTGACGATGAAATTGCCAGTTTTAGTTATGATACCGTTAATAATATCATTCCAAAAACATTTACTGGCTGCACCACACAATTTATCAAGAGCAAAAGGTATGCTTCATTCATGCGATGCGAATGCGACGGCGCGCGCATGCATGAGCGCTGCGCGCTGGTCCCATTCATTGTGCCGTATTAGTCCGTCCCTAGGCGCCCACTGCTGGGACCGAACGGTCAACGCGAAAGGAAGTGCCTTTAGGGAAACTCGGATAGGAAAGTTATTTTCATTCAAGCGGAATGAAAGTAGACTTTGTATTCAAATATTTAAGCGGTAAGTATTAGATGATTTTTACATTATTAGATTTTACTGTTTCCAAATAATTTACAAAGAACTTTAGCAGAATAATTGTTTTTCCAACAATTTTCAGGAAATCGATACCTATCTGGAGTTTCATGATGAAGAAATTGAAATGTAAGATTCTTGTCAACATTAATAAGTAGGGCAACATTAGTAACATTAGTATGGTTAATAAGGCTTTGAAATTAATAATTAGATTCAGAATGTAATTTTGCTAAAGTTAGGTAAACTGGAATAGCCAGCGTCCTGTAGTTAGACTAATTTTATTGCAGGCTGTCACTACAGTCTTATAGGCTTAGTCCTTAGTTAATTCTCCTTTATACATCTTATGATACTTAAGCCTATATCGTTTGACAGCATCATCATCTATCCACGCCACTCATTCACCTAAACAACAATCTCCACCAGTTAATTAGCAAAAATCAACAGCCGCACTTTCGAAACAATAAGTAGCTCTGGTATGATCGACGGGCAGCAAGCAGTATCCGTGACAAATCGTGCAGCGCGCGTTTCAGTGGCAGACGATAAATAACTGCTTATCGCGCATACCCGCTTGTTAACACGTGTCCGAGAAGGGCCACCAGCGGTTCTCAATATTTAAGTTTTGTCCCCAATAGGGTTTACTCCTATAGGGTTTAATAAGGAAGAACAAAAAAGTCTAGCCACAGACTGCACACTTTTTGTCGGCCGATAGTTTAGTCCGGCAATTGATCAGTATGGGCATGTATGGAAGTGCGCACATTATACCGATTGATTCTTCATACAAATTAAAATCGGGCCCAACTATCGGCTGACTAAAAATCGGTGGTCTGCGCCGTACCGTAAAATTTTCTGGAATTTATCCCGAATATTGGATATTTCGATCACGAACGACTCGCCAAGATATCGATGCATACAGTTGGAAAACACTTTCTTGCCACTGTGTGTTGTTAGGACTCTAAAAATACAAATTTGTTAGTAATATTTTTTTATGGGACGATCTGGAACTTAAGTAGGTATGTCCTTTCAAACGAAAAATGAAATTCCAAAATTGGTCTTGGCATCTTGATAAACTCTTTTTTGAATCGGTTACAAATGAAAATCGATAGATAAACCTACACAAATAGCTTTTGAAAGGACACATGAAAAGTTTGAGAAGCACATATCAACCATCACTATTAACGATCGGAGCGAATCGACGCGAAAGCGAGCTACTGCTTTCTATCTCCGTAGATTCGGTCGGGAGCGATTGTCCTTGTGGCTAATTAATGCATGCAAATGTCGATAACTGATACTAAACTTATTAAGGTTTAACTTTAACTAATGGAGTTCCTAATAACTCTAGATAGCGCCATATTAACTTATTTGCTGGGTAAGGGCTGCATTATTGGGTGATTTATTCAAGTCATAAAATTAAATGTGCTCGAACACATCCATATTTTTATGGTTTGCAAATTTCAGAAGTGATTGGGAAATTGATACTTTAATATGATTAGGGCAGATTTTTCAATCGTCGGATAAGTTTTAGCTGAAGAGTAAATTTGGCACATTGACAGTTTCAGTATGGGAAATATCTTCAGTTAAAAGATATCATGATTGAAAAATTATCCTGTTAGGATATGCGATGTCCACCCGGACAAACTATTTTTTTCATTATATTTACTTCTTTTAGTTCCAGTATAATATGTAGATAGTGGGCCAGTTAACGTTCCACATTGTAGAGATGTCCACATGTTGACCGCATGATTACGAGAGCTCCAAGAAAATTTTTCGCCCATCACCAACTTATGAAACTTATTTTGCAGATAGCATACTGAAAATTGAAATATTCCCGATATTTTTAATCAAGTTACACATTCCTATTACATTTAAAAGAAATTACCATTATAGCCGCTAACGTGATCACATATGAGCTCTATAATTACGCTCGTAAGTACATCGTGCGAGTCAAAAAACCAACACGAACCAAATTACATCAGGGTCATCAGGTAGCTACTCTCCATTGATATTCGAGTGATGTGTAAAATCGATTGAATTCGAATAATGAGTTCGACGAATAATAATCACAGATCTTTTACGAGTATATTTCTCGAAAACACTCGCTCTCTCTTTAATTTATTAAAACTCATGATAAATTAAAATTCATTTATTTTTGCAAATAGGCTTTAAAAAAGCGCTTTTACACGTCCCAATATTAACCCTACCACTGCTTCGGGACAATAAATGGGCCAGTGCTGAGAAGAAGCAGCGCAAGAAACTCAGTCACTATTGTCAGCCTCCTTTTCAAGGTTTTACAGTCTTTAAAATATACAAATTATAGTCATAAGTATTAATGCGAGCTAGGTAGTTAAACATTCCAAACATTTTTATCCTTTATATAATCATCAACTTTATAGTAGCTCTTTTTCATTAAGGTGCTTTTGATATGTGCTTTAAATTTATGAATGGGCAATTCTACAACAGTTTGTGGTAATTTATTGAAAAGTTTAATACATTTCCCCATAAATGAATTNGCTAAAATAATTTTTTTGCTATAGTTTTTTGTCATAAGTATTTCAAAATAATTTATTATTTAAAAAGTGTAGTTTTTTTTTATTATTTAAATCACTACAGTTAATTATTACTCCTAAATATTACAATTTTTCATTAAAGAAGAATAACAGTGCTGTTGGAATAATAGACCTTAATTGCGACGATGATCGACCGAGCGTGTATAGAAATACGCGTAAGCAAACAGGCGCGTGGCGGCCCGGACTGATTTGCAACTTGAAGTTTTCGCGCGCTGTAGGTAATTATCTCGGCCGGCATAGGCGAGTGACGGAGGCCTGTAATAACTCTAGATAGCGCCATATTAACTTATATGCTGGGTAAGGGCTGCATTATTGGGTAAAAGGATTTATTCAAATCATAAAATTAAATGTGCTCGAACACATCCATATTTACACAACGTATTAAAGTATCACTTTCTACTTCTGAAATTTGCAAACCATAATGCAAATTTCAGAAGTAGAAATTGATAGTTATATAGGTTGACGTTACAAAATGCGATATTCACCCGGACAACCTATATTTTTGTTATTATACTTAGTTCCAGTATAATATGTAGATAGTGGGCCAGTTAACGTTCCACATTGTAGAGATGTCCACATGTTGACCGCATGATTACGAGAGCTCCAAGAAAATTTTTCGCCCATCACCAACTTATGAAACTTATTTTGCAGATAGCATACTGAAAATTGAAATATTCCCGATATTTTCAATCAAGTTACACATTCCTATTACATTTCAAAGAAATTACCATTGAAGCCGCTAACGTGATCACATATGAGCTCTATAATTACGCTCGTAAGTACATCGTGCGAGTCAAAAAACCAACACGAACCAAATTACATCAGGGTCATCAGGTAGCTACTCTCCATTGATATTCGAGTGATGTGTAATATCGATTGAATTCTAATAATGAGTTCGACGAATAATAATCACAGATCTTTTACGAGTATATTTCTCGAAAACACTCGCTCTCTCTCTAATTTATTAAAACTCATGAAGATAATATTCGAGATAGCCGAGAGTGACGATATTATTTGTCCATGAGATAGAAGAGAATAGGTGAGTATCAAGCTCTTCACAATAAAGTTCATTTCATTTCTCTTTTGGAAAGGACCATATCCAGCAGTGTATCTTGAAGAACTTTGAAGATGATTATAATGCTAAATCAAAAAACTGCTTCACAAGCCCCAGGCATAGTGTAAATGAACACTGACGACACTCTACTATTCAATAATTTATTGCCAAAACGTAATGACATAAGATGTTTATGTTTATTGTGATACCAATATTCATCAGTTTTCTCTTATTTCATTGAATACTAGCTGACCCGGCGAACTTCGTACCGCCTTAGCGTAGAGATTTTCTTTATATTTTTTTCCGTAAAAACCTTGTACAGAGTATTAG